CCGGTTCCTTTTTCACTCAATTATATTCTTGGATACTTGCATATTAATTATGGTGTAAGAGTTTGAGAACGATGTTGTCATGCAGCGAGGAGTGCTCTTAGGGTCAATAAAAGATGTAGTAAATAATAAATTATAATTTATTTACATTAAACTATCAATTCATAATCTCACACGTGACACGCTCGCAAGTATAAAAAGTAACGTCATGGCCATCACACTGGGAACAATGACTCAGTCATGCGGGACGGGCCGCTCTACAGCTCGTCGTGGTCCTCGGCCGCCACCTCGTCGGCCTCGTCGGGCGTCGGCTCCTCGGCGTCGGGCGAGTCCTCGGGCTCGTCCTCGTCGAGGTCCGCCAGCGCGCCGGGCGGCACGCCCAGCGACTGCTGCAGCATGTCCTCGACGGCGACGGCGAAGTCCACGGCCTGGCCCTCCTGCAGCATGTACCCCGAGCGCAGCGCGGCCGTGCGGTACAGCGTCTCGGCGGCGCGCGCCGTCTCGGGCGCGTCGGGGGCCTCCTGCACCCGGCGCAGGAGCTCCGCGATGAGCGGATGGCGCGGGTTGATCTCCAGCATCTTCTTCTGCGTGAGGTGGTGGCGGCGCTGCGCGTCGTCGGCCTTCTGGTGCGCGTTGGAGAGCGCCAGACGCTCCATGTTGCCGGTCCAGCCGAAGGCCGTGGCGGCCAGCGCGGCGGGCGAGCGGGCCAGTCGCCGCGACACGACGCAGCGCGTCACCCAGGCGCCCAGCTTGTCGCCCAGCCACGTCGTCAGCGGCTCGAACTGCTTCTTGTAGGCCTCCAGGCGCTCCTTCTGTTGCTCGCCTGTAACCAGTACGTCATTACTGCCGCGGCTCCGTCGGCGCGGCGCTACGGCGTCGCTTCGGTCTCCAAATACTCACTCTCCTCCAAGTCGAAGATCTCCTTGGCGATGTTCTGGAACTTCTTTCCGTCGTACTCGGGCAGCGAGGACAGGCAGTATTCGTCTACGGCCTCCGTCAGGTACAGCACTTCGTAACCGCGTCGTACCAGACGTTCCGCGAAGGGAGATTTTTCAACCTGCCGCAAATTGTTATGCAGTGTTACTTGTGTGTGTGTGTGAAATTGTTAGACAATGCATCCGCGTCATAAAAGAAAATGCTCGTGTTGAAAGTGTATAGTAGTTTAATATAAAATTGTGTATGGTAATGTACATACACATTTAAATGAAAGTTGCAATATACATCTATCACAGTATGTAAATAAATAGCCTTTTTAATTCGATTACGCTGGCGACACCGATCGCAAGCATTATATCTTGTGCAATTTAAACTTTATTGGATAATTTTATTGTAAGTTTTGTCAAATAAACGTGGTTATTATTGTCTTATACTTGGAGTCGGTCAGAGACATACCTCGGCGCGACTGGAGCCGGCGATGTAGTAGATGTGGTTCTGGTTGGGCTTCATGCGCGCGACGTAGTCGGCCAGGAACGTCATGCCGTCGCCGCGCGACGAGTGGAAGCGAAGCAGCTTGGCCAGTCGCGAGCGATTGCTGGGGTCCTCGATCACGCCCAGCTTGATGCTGTACACGACAATGGCTTGTACTATACGCCGCACTATACTCCGTACTATACGTGCTATACGCCGCGCTTTACGGTACACGGCCGCGCTTTACGGTACACGGCCGCACTACGATCGGCACTTACTTGGTGGAGTACTCCTTCCAGAAGCTCTCGTACTCTGAGTCGGGGATCTTCTTGAGCATATCGAGCACCTTGCGTACGAGCTTCTTTTTAATGATCTTGATGAGCTTGTGTTGCTGCAAGGTCTCGCGGCTCACGTTCAGGGGCAAGTCGTCGCTGTCCACGATACCCTGCGGGAGTCAGACAGCGCCGCCACTCAAAGACAGTTTCGAATTTTGTTTCCAATTCAATATCTCAATATATGAGATTTGTACGATGAATAAATATGTATAATTTGGACAAGTATTGAAATCGACGAAACGAGGAATGGCATACCTGGATGAAGGCAAGGTAGTTGGGCATGAGGTCGTTGAACTCGTCGGTGATGAAGACGCGTCGCACGTAGAGCTTGATGTGGTCGGTCTTGGTGCCGTACCGGTTGAACGAGTCGGCCGGCTGCACGCGCGGGACGAACAGTAGCGCGCGGAACGTCACCTCGCCCTCCGCCACGAAGTGCGCCCTGACACAGAACCTTACTCACTACCGTACCATTCACGTCTCATGCTTTTATCATATTGGATATATCGATACATTAGCGAGCCTTTCTTGGATCATCGTTTAATTTTATTAAAGAACGTTCTGTTGACTAATTTTGTCATCATCATCATAAGCAATAAAAACATACGCAAGCCTGCTTCCACAATAACCATACGATTAATTGTATTACTTATGCATAGAAACCGGTTAGCACAATTACGTAAAAAACAAAAGATTTGATTGACAGAGATTAGTGGTGGCGCCAGACGAGTGGCCCACGGGAAGGGGTGGTTTCTGATTGGCTGATCGCAATTCCGGTACATTAGAATTGCCGAATGCACTAGCAGGCAGTGACTGGGCAAGCGGGAGCGATGTTATGAATCTAGGTCGGACTCTATTTCAACTTAAAACGCGTGAAGTTTCCAATTAGTCCAAGAAACATTTTTGGTGACGTAAGAGAGAGACGTGATTCATGATGCCCTAGGCAATTGCTTAATTTGATTAAGGGTTAATCCGTCACCACTCGGTTGACGAACATAGCCAGGACTGACTTGGCGAGCTGAGGTGAAGTGTCCTTGGTCAGGCTCTTGTAGAACTGTGTGTACTCCTCCTCGTTGACTTCATTGGGCTTGCGCGTCCAGATGGGCTTATTGTCGTTCATCAGCTCCCAGTCCCAAACGGTTTTCTCGGTCTTTTTGGTTTCGCGTTTCTCTTCAGTGGCGTCTTCGACCTGGAGGGTGATACTTATGTAGTTATAATATAGCGTTCAAGGATTGCCACGAGAGGTGTAGTTGTCGGTACCTGCGCGTCGTCGTCGGCGTCGACCTTGTCCTCTGCGTCCGCATCGGCATCGCTCTCCTCGACGGTCTCGGTGCGCGACGCCCACAGGTAGATGGGGAAGTTGATGAACTGCGAGTACTTCTTGACCAGGTTGCGGATGGTGTCGGGCTGAAGGTAGTCGGCGGCCTCTTCCTTCACGTGCAGCCTGCCACCAGATCATTCTACTGTACTCGTTAGCTTACACGACTTGCAGCGGTTTTGGTTGAAAAACGTAGCAAGAATTTAATGGACAATTATTTAAAAAGCAACGTGATATCATTTCTCACTGTAAAAGCCATAATGTTGTAAAATTTCTGAAGGATACACTCATTTAATAATATATAAATAAAATGCATTGACCTTGATATAATTTGGTACAGATATAGTTTAGAACTCGAGAAAGGACATAGGATAGTTTTTAAACCAAAAATCTGCAGAAGACAAAATTTCACAGAAGCTAGTTACATTATGTTACATCTATAGTCAAAGTCAAATCATTTATATCAAATAGCCTAGCATATTTATACCAACAATAGGCACTTTTGAATGTCAAAGAAAAAAAATTAATAAAAAGTTTGTGTGTCAGTCTGTCGCTCTGTCTATAAGTCTATTTCTATCCCATCAATGTCTCATATTAGATATAATTTCCACATTCGAAAAAGGGCTGTTGATTCGCAACCATTATAAGTAACTTCTGTATTTGCGCGCCATTGTATACGGCAAACATGTCTTGACTTTTTTCACCATCATCCACTATCTTGCAAGCGATGATTTATTGTATGTACACATGTGTAAGCCAATAAATATGGGAGGTAGTGGGCTGGCATACTGACGTGATGTGCGTGCCCCGACGCAGAGTGTCCCCGCGCGGGTCCTCGGCGACGCTGAAGGCGCTGGCGTCGGACTCCCAGACGTGCTGCTTGTCGGAGTTGCTCTTGGAGACCACGGTCACCTTGTCGGCCACGAGGAAGGCGGAGTAGAAGCCCACGCCGAACTGGCCGATCATGTCGTTCATCTCTTGCGCGCCGCTCTGCAACAGACACGCGCGCGTCATTAGCCGTTCTGGGACTGCGCCGGGCCGCGAGCTCGCGACGGTGCCCGTCTTACCTTTTCCGCGTCCTGCATCTTGGACAGGAACTCGGCAGTGCCAGACTTGGCGATGGTGCCGAGATTGTTGATGAGCTCATTGCGAGTCATGCCGATGCCGGAGTCGATGATGTGCAGGAGTCGTTTCTCTGGCTCAGCCTTGATGCGGATGCTGAGGTCGGAGTTGGCGTCCAGCACGTCTCGCTCCGTCAACGACAGCAGTCGGATCTTGTCCAGCGCGTCTGACCCGTTCGAGATCAACTCTCGTAGAAATATCTGGAACAGAAACATAGTCACGTTAGCTCTGGCCGGTAGACAATGGCGTGGCTCGGCAGAGTAACCGGGGCTTCACCTCTTTGTTCCTGTATAGCGAGTTGATGATGAGTTTCATCATTCGGTTAACTTCCGTCTGGAACGTATAGTTCTGTGCGCGCTCCTTTATCTCTCTCATCTGAGCAACACTCAGCTCGTCCGGCGAGATGGCCTCCTCTTCTCGTAACACCGCCTCGGCATCTGTGTACAAGTCACATAACTGTCTTACCATTCTCAAAATATTTTTTAAATTCGCAATATTTCGTCTGGTCAATGTGTGGTCTAAAGACTACAAACGAGTGTACTACACACTTCAAATCTCTAAAAATATTAACATTTCCTTCCATATATACATATACTGGGGAAACAGCTATATTCGAAAATAAAATCCGATCTTATTTCCAAAATTGAGCTTTGTCCGGAATGTTCCCAATATGTAAATAAACTAAGCCAAGTAACAATGAATTCATTTTTTAAGTCGTTTAATGCAGTAAAATATTGTGGCAAGCGACATTGGATGTAGTGATGTGCTGCCTTTAAGTAGCCTAGCAACTGTAACATATCGATCAGACGCCTGCTCGGCAGAGGATGGCGGACGACGGCAGCGCGACGGGCGGCGCCGAAGCCGGGCAGGCCGGGGAGCCCGAGCCAGCCACGGCGCGCCCGCTCCACCCGCGCTCCTTCAAGCTACGCTTCGCGTCGCAGCGCGAGCAGGGCCGCTCTTATGTGTCCCTCGTCAGGCCTCTCGGCCTTCGTAAGTCCTCACCGCAATCGTTACTTCAATACATTGTAGCGTACAATGTGCAACGGTAGATCTGTCCCCAGCCGCCACGGTGACGGGCAAGTTCTACGTGAGCGAGCAGGCCAACAGCGTGGACGAGGAGGCCACGCGGCGCGCCCTGCAGCGCATACAGCGCATGTTCGGCCACGGGCCCACCGACAAGTACGACGCGCCCGTTACCAGCTCGCACGTGTTAGTAACTACACACTTTGTACATATAAACATTATGTTTTATTTGGCCGAATGTTACTCGTAACACGCAGTCCTCAATGGTCTCTTCACTGCATAGTATAAAACAAAGTCGCTTCCTCTGTCCCTATATCCCCATGTATGCCTAAATCTTTAAACCTACGCAATGGATTTTGATGAGGTTATTTCTAATAGAGTGACTAAAGAGGAAGGTTTATATGTATAATAAGATCCATTTAATAGTGATGAAAATTAGTATCAGCATTGTACCCGTGTGAAGCCGCGGCTGGTCGCTAGTGTCCTATGTAACGTTTGATGAGAATACATTCATAGACAACCTTGAACTGCCACATTTCTGGAGACCTTAACAAATGTGGTAAACGGGTTTACAAATATTTTCAAGTTGTTTTCTTATTTATGTTCAAGTAGTTGTAGTTGTGTTTGACTCCACATGTAGTGAGCCTTGTGGTGTGTGTGGCAGGGTGGGATGGTACGCGACAGAGACGGGGGCGGAGGCCGGCGCGGGGGCGCGGGCCGACCGGCGCCTGCAACACCACATCCGCGACTCTGCCTGGCTGAAGGCGCGTCTGTGTGTGCTCGCTGCAGACGACAAGCTCAAACAGCGATACTAACCATCTACATCTATGAATTTACTGAGTGCCATGTAGAGCCAATATACATGTTTGAAATATTCAAGACAATTTTCCTCTTTAGGTTTTACAATAAAAATTGAGATTTGGTATTTGCATCACATTATCTTTTGGAATGAGTGCAATTATACCAGTTTGTTGTTAATGGTATGTCGAAACCATAATTTCAAAACTAAAACTAAAACAAACTAAAAAATTACAACATACATACTCCATTTTGCCAATAAAATAGACTCCAATAATTCAAAACAAATTATAATGTTAATATCCTTCAGCATAATTTCATTCCTAATGGTATTCCATTTTTGATATAATAAGCTATTCACTATAGACTTACACTTATTTATCAAACAGTATTTACCTCAATCTAAGTGGCGAGCAATACTATCAGCAGGTTCATTTATTAGATAAAATTATAAATGGGAAAAAATAATCCTTTATATTTATCAATTATGAACATTGTTATCAGCCAAACAGCCATTGTGCATGCTGCCCACCGTTATGTTCTAGAATTACAATGAAGTACTTCATTTCAAACATTTCACATGATTACTTTTCTCCATTCAATGTTTATCTGTGTACATGTAAATTAAACCTCAGAACATAAGAGCATGCACACTCAGTTTCATGCCTAAAAACACCACACCAATACAGAATCAACTTCACAGTTGGAGTACATCAGTTTTATAGATTTTTTTTGAAGCAAAGAGATTGACCTCAGATTTACATGTTTTTTATTTTAAAAAGTAAACTTATTTCATTTTTCTTTGAAATCATCCATTGTCTCAGATATGTGGGATTGGGTAAATAAATAATCTTACTGAAGTAATTAATAGTACCTAGTAGTAGAACTCCATACATAAGCCCATATCAGATAAGAAACAGGTGGCTAAATCATCAGCACACTATGACGCTGAGCTATGCAAGTCGGCGAGTTATTGCTAAGGGTAGTTACCAGTTCGGGAACCCTCGCGAGACGCGCCAAGATCGGCGTCCACCGTCACCTCCTCCACGGACCCTACGCCCACGCCTTCTTGTGCATGTGACCATCCTGAAACAATCAACGCTAATTGTAACACACCTGTGAGCAGACGGTCCCTACTATGCATAATATCGGATCAGACAGATTCATAACATAGAAATTTCTAGTCGTCACAACAGAACAAAAGATTTTTTTTATCTAAATACGAATATTTACCAAGCTTTTGTTGCACGTATATCTGGTTAACACAAAAATATCTTCAATTTCTTTCATAAAACCTGTGATGAAGACAGTAAACAAGTAGAATTACTAAAATTTACAAAGCGCTACGTAGACAGACAAACTCACCTGCAAGTAACAGGATGCCGACTCCGACCAAAACAAAATACTTCATAGTGTCACTTCCAATACCTATAGTGTACTTAGTTTACTCCGTCCTAAAATTTATTATTTTACACGCATGAATAATAGACACGTTAACCAGAACCCACAGGGTCAGGACACCTTACATACAGCGCGTGAAGTGTATTGCGGGACTTTACAAGTTCTTCTGTGTGCTGTCTGTCTGAATATGAAATTGTGAACGAATGCCGCTAACCCGATTCAAACCGAATGACCGAAGTAGACCGAATTTTTGAATGAAATTTTCAACAATCGTTCAGGTAACGTTGTTTCTGATTGGCCAGCGAATAGATCGAAAATATACATGGTCCAATAAGATACTCACACGCCAGTTTTCTAGCAAATCGTAGTAACTTATATACAAATGTCGCTATCCCATTGGCTGAAATGAATTGTGTAGGGTTTCGTGTCCGATTGTAAACCAAAGACTTTTTTTTTATTGTTCGTTCCTTAGGACCCGACTAAGGTCCGAGACCATACCGCCTAGTCTTAGTTTTTATTGAAGCATAAATCACTCAGTATTACTCATCCATATTTTTTTAATTAATACAGTTGTAGTCAATCCTAGACTATACTCGAACTTTTAATTCCATTCCAGATTTGACAATTTCAGTGTTGCAACGTTATGACACGTAATAAATAGTGACGTTGCGAAATTATTCGATATGGAAATCGAATATTTCTGAATCGATTCCTCTCGTTTATAAATTTAATCTCGTAAACTAAGTTTATCAGGAAATAAAATATTTCTGAATCGATAATTTAGTTTTGACAATTAATTAACGATCTGAGACTTTTCTTTGTTATTGTGTGTGAAATTAATAAAAAATGTGATCATGAAGGAACGTGACAAATAAAACAGACATTTTATAAATTGTCGCCGTCATCGCTATCGCTATCGCCGTTACTCTATGTAACATTTATTATGAATTGTGTCTTTGATATTTATTGTCAATTAACATATCTAGCTTACTCATTTTTTCCTCTTCTTTGAAAACATGGGATACACATTTAGACCATTCGGTAGCCGTAATTTTTTGAATGCCTTCCTGAAACTGATTCACTGATTGTTTATCGATTTTTGTGTTCATCACTACACTGTTATATGTGGTATCATTATTTCACAAAATGACAGTGGTCAATGTCAAATCAGGAATCGAATTAAAAGTCTGACTAATTATAACTATTATAAGTACCTAATTCGTTTTTTATAAACCAAAGACATTTTGTAATACCAGAGAGCCGAGCTTAAAGTAAAAAGAAATTGTCGTGTCTCGCCAGAATACCATTTAACCATAGAGTCTCGCCACGCAAGTTATACAAGTGTAGTCTCACTTGTGACAAAGTTGTGTCCAATAATATACGTCCCTGGTGCATTGAGATAGAAAATATTATATCCTATGTCAATGTCCCTGGTGTGTCACACTCACACACAGCCATATTGAAGTTCTGGGGCAGCATGACAAACACGATGACAAACCACGCCGCAGTTATAATCATAGATTATACACTATAACTGGAATTAATAGAGTAAAGTTATAATAGAGTCGTTACTAATTTATTTAAAACTTAAGGCGTTTTAAATGTGCCGGGGTTGCGAGGTAAGCGCAATAGGCACCGCGACCTCGGCCCAGAGCAGGAGTAGGAAGGAGGGGGGGGGGGAGGTTAGTCGGTAAGAGTCTGACATTCCCATATCCATCATCCGTGACATTTAAATATCTTCTTCTTCTTCTTTTTTTGTTTATGGCTCCTTCGTAAGTATTCGAACATTTTGCCAACATCGAGGTAGGTGTAAAAAAAAACGAAAGTAATGTAACTAATGACCGGTAATCAGTGATGTTTGTAGTGCTGGAAAAGGACAAAACAATTTGTTAGAATTAACGACACAAGGGTTAGACATTTAAATATAATTTTATTAATATAACATGACACTGACACATGACATTGACATGTTACGACGATGACTGTCGAAACTGCGAAACTCGAAACTCTCGAAAGAAAAGAAAGAACTTACTTTTTATTTTTAACAACCTAACATCAAAGTTTACACAAACAATATTAGTAATGAATTCTAAGTCTTTGAAATTCATATGAAGTAATAAATTATTATAATGGAACTTAGTAAATCTAAAAAACGGATTACTTATAAACCCAGCGGATGGCGCATCCATGAGTTTGAAATATGGAGTGGGGACCTTATATGTAAAGCTGCTGCATTACGTGTAGAAGGCTCACTGTTACTGTGGCTCGGGGGCAGTGGCGAAGCACAACTTCATGAGATTGCTCTTGGAATGCCGTCGTTGCAAACACAAGCTGATACTGCAAAAGCTGCTCTCGTAACTACTCTGTTAGGAGAAGACGGAGCGGCAGCAGCCCTAGCCCGCCGGCTGTCTGCTGCACTCGGACGCCCTGTGTATGTGTGCAGTGGTTTGGTGTTAGATCGCTTCAACATGCCACTTGTTGAACGAGGACTTATAACGGAAATTAAGAGCAGACCAGAATGCTTTTAATAGACCTTTCTTTTTATTATTATTAATTACTAAATGTGTAAGTGATAATGTAAGGTAACTGTCTTGTACTGTTATCAAACTAAGTTAACCTCTGTAGTGGTGTGATATATTTCTACTTTGTGCATGCAATTAAAGTAACAGTGTAAAAAATTAAATAAAATTATTAATCGAAAATGTGCAGTACTCCACAATAAATATTGCACATTTGCTTGGGGTTCAAGTATGTTTACGGTTTTAAAATATCAGTTAATAGCTTCCGCCTGCAGCTTTGTGTGGTATGTTTATAAAAAGCAGCCTCTGTGTTAATCCAGGGTATCACCTATTTGTATGTATAAATTTCCACTAAATTGGTCCAGCTGTTTTTGCCTGAAAGAATAACAAACACACATCCAAACATTCTCACAAACATTCACATTTATAATACTAGTATGATAGGAGATAGATTAATTTGATTTGTTTTAATACTATTTGTTTATGTATTACATGCTTAATCTATTTCATCAAACCCCAAGCGAATGCCTGCATTGACACCTCTATTGTTCTTCTATTGTGTCTAGAAGGTCAGTTCTGAAATTAGTTTTCATTTTGAACCCTCTTGTAATTTTTTTTTATATGATAGGTTGGCAAACGAGCGTAAGGATTACCTAATGGTAAGCAATCAGCGCCGCCCATGGACGCTTACAACAACAGAGGTGTTACAAGTGTGTTGCCGACCTTTTGGGGATTAGGGAGGGGAGGGATTGGGCCTCCGGCAACCTCACTCACATGGGAAAACTCAATGCTGTGGTTGTTTTACGTCGGTTTTCTGTGAAGCCGTGGTATCACTGTGACAGAGCCGGCCAATATGTGCCGAAGCATGGCTCTCCCACTCTTGTTTAGACATAACTTATTTGTTAATAAAGATTTTTTATATTTTTTGCTTAAGTTTAGTGGGTCCATTGTGACCAAGTGAGTTGAGTGAGAGTTCAGTGATTCATTTCATTAAGTATTTTAAAGCACAACAATTTAATGAAGGCCTAGAATGACCTGATGGAGCTGAAATATAAAAAATATTTACATTAAGATATTTTGTCATTTGTTAGGTCAAAATTAGAATTAAGGAAAAGAATGAACAAAAGACTCCAATATTGCTCTTTAAAAACCTGTATATATGTTCTATAATCACTTATATCATCCATCGTCCGTGCCCGGATAACCTCAGAGACCGTTAGCACTAGAAAGCTGTTTGGTCCCAATATGAAAATGAATATCGACCACGCCAACCATATCATGAACCATAAGTTTAAAAAATATGAAAATTGTCTAGCTAGTAGAATTATTATTATACCTAATTAATAAATTACCTATTTCTAAAATTCTAAGAGTTTTTTTTTAACTCAATGGATTGAATTGTTAGTAAAATATTGTAGGTACAAAGAAATAAATTTTATTGTTCTAAACGTATATTTTTCAAATAAAAAAATTAATGTTAATATCAGTTTACGCCATCCAAAGTTAAAGTTACTATACTACCTACCAAAAACTTAACATACTACATAATACAACTTCACATAGGTAATAGGTACGGGTGGGCGATGTCATTCCGATTTCCTATTGTTAAAATGTACTCTGTGGCGATGTACATTACCCACCCGTCTAGTTTGTATAAATTAGTAACACAATTCCCTAATAGATGGCGCTGTTCTTCCACTCGTAATTGCGGAATATTTACAATAACTTTTAAGTGGGGATACTTATTCAACTTATTGTGACAACCAAGCAACTACGGAACCCTACACTTAGCGTTAGCCGGATACGCTCTTGACCGGTTTGTTCATGGTATATGTCAGCAAACGAGCAAACGGATTAATTGGTGATAACTGATAAGTAACCAGCGCCGCATATGGACACCCTCTGAACCGAAGGAATTACTTTGTGAAACGACTGCATTGCCTGCTTTTTGGGGATAAGGGTTTGGGATATTTAAGATGATGGGTGGAGTGGTATGGATTGGGCCTCCGGTAACCTCACTCACACGGCGAAACAAGGCTGTGGTTGTTACACTCAGGTTTTCAGTGAGACCTTGGTATCACTCCTTCTTGAAAGATTGTGAAGCAACGCAAGCTTATTCAATAGTTCTTGAGTGACATCAAGATAGCTCACAGCAACATAGAGGAGGATCGAAAAAGGAGAGATTGTGCCTAAGCAATTTTTGTATTTTGCGGCAAGAAATTCTGGAGAGAATAGTTGTTTAGACCAGGAAAGAGTACTGTCAACGTTCCTCTCAAATTTTTTACACCTCCCATGAAAGGAATGATTGTGTTATGTAAAGAACCCTGAGGCAAAGTTGTCCAGTTAATTTAAACCACAGACCACCACCGCGACCTCGGCCCAGAGCAGGAGAAGGAACAGGTGGGTTTTTAGTCAGTAACAGTCTGACACTCCCTCCCGCCCGGCTCTGGGCTGGAGAAGTCATTTGATGATTTTCCCCTCACAAAAAAAAGACCCTGAATTGCCGACTAAAATTTCTTGCATCTTTGAAGGATTTGATTACAGACCAAATTTTGTGCTCCAGTCACTTATTGAGGTTGATCGATGCAATATCATTCGGCAATTTAATCAAGCGAAGCGAAGAAACAGTCACAATGAAGGTATTAATCTTTTTTGTCTGTGGATTGATGTTTTTTATCTGTAGATCGGAATTCTCATCTGTGGAACTTCACATATGTCATACAGAAAACAAGAAAGTTTTGTAATTTCAGTAAAATACTTAAATAGCACGTAAAATTGATAATTTCTCCTTATCGAATAATTTTTTTATGAATAATACTACTTGGAATAATTACATATAAATACTTGGGTATACCTGAATTGGTGTAGATAATAAACGTTAACATTTAACAAGTTGAAAAGTTTGTCTTTCAAATTGTAATTTTGTAAAGACCATACTATGGAATGGACAGTTTGTTATCTTTGAAACATACATTAGCTTTGTGTTAAGGTAAGAATAACCAATTTGTTACTTATAATTTCTACAAGTTTGCATGTTTGCTCATCTAGTGAAGAAATAAACAAATGGTTTTTAATGTTATCAGTTCATTGATGGCCTGATTATGTTGATAAGTTTACAAATGTCTTGCACCACCTAAAGTTTGCCACTTTATTCATTTTAATGCAAGTTAACTCAGACTGTGGAATATGCTTCCTCACAATAACACTGACAGTGTTTACATGTAAACAAATTAATCTGATAGTTTTGGGCCAGGTGTTCGGTGGTGACAGGAGAGTCATGCCTGGCAGTCCATTCGAACCAATTTTCTATGTATCTTTACTAAGATTATAGATTGATCAAATAGCCCTCTTCTGCAGGACAAAGGTAGACTGCGTGTCAGCGGCATTCACTCACAACAGAATACCATATGACGTGATGCTTTGAAATTAGCACTATTAAATTAAGGGCTGATTTTTCAATATTCTGAGGAATAAAATTGTTGCTGTCACTGTTCACAAACATTCTGAAACAACAACATCATAATTATTCCCCAGATAACTTTTATCAGCCCTTTGTCTGTTTAATTTCAACAAATTGGTAGAACCTAGTTGCTTTGTATATCTATCTTATATTTTCACTTCTGTCAGGTAAATAAGGGTTTCATGTAGTATCCAACCCACATCCTTAGAAGTTTGTATCACAAATGCTACACACCATAGTTGTAAAACTTCTAGTTTGGTCTGGCAAGTGTCAGGTGGGCCATATAAGCTCTTGTTTATCTGATGTGAACAAAAGGGTTCCTGATGAAGTTGACATGGATCTGTATTGTGGCGGAGCTGGTAGTTTGCATGTGTTTAGCACATAGAACAAATCAGCTTAACTTTTTTAGACCTTTTATTGTGAATTTATCCTTTAGTTAGGAATTTAAGTGCCTCTCTGGCCATACATTAGATTCACACTTGTTTTTTTAATAATTACTTAAGGAAATACTATGATCATAATATTTCTTTGTTATATCTTAGTAAACGTGAGTAATATGAGATGACAGCTTGTGAATGTCTTGGAATCATGCTTTCTATTAGTCCATAATGTCTGTCATGGACTGACATGGCTGTTTTTGCATGAAAGAATTACAAAAATACATCCATACATTCTCACAAAATTTCATGTTTATAATATTAGTAGGATAGGATAGTAGGAAAGTAGGATAATATTTTTTTTATATGATATCTTATGTGTTTTGTATAAGTATAATTTTAAATTTACCTTATCAATAATCATAATTATTTATCATCATTTATGGATAAAATTAAAAAATAATTCTGTTCGTTTGTTTATTTTTTGTTTAATAAAACATAGTTTGTAACGTCGCAGAGGCCGCGGAGGCGGGGTGATGCGGCCATGGCCTCGCGGCGCGTGACGCGCAAGTGGGAGATGTTCGCGGGCCGGAACCGGTTCTGGTGCGACGGACGCCTCATGACGGCGCCGCACCCCGGCGTGTTCCTGCTGACGCTGGCCCTCATCTGCGGCACGTGCGGCCTGCACTTCGCGTTCGACTGCCCGTTCCTGGCCGCGCGCGTGTCCCCCGCCGTGCCCGCCGCCGGCGCCGCGCTCTGCGCGCTGACGCTGGCCGCGCTGCTGCGCACGGCGCTGTCCGACCCCGGCATCATCCCGCGCGCCGCGCCCGCCGAGGCCGCCGCGCTCGAGGCGGCCGAGGCGGGCCGCCCGCCGCCGCGCGCGCGCGAGGTCCTCGTGCGCGGCCGCCCCGTCAAGCTCAAGTACTGCTTCACCTGCAAGATGTTCCGCCCGCCGCGCGCTAGCCACTGCTCGCTCTGTGACAACTGCGTGGACCGCTTCGACCACCACTGCCCCTGGGTGGGCAACTGCGTGGGCAAGCGCAACTACCGCTACTTCTACACGTTCGTGGTGTCGCTGTCGTTCCTGGCGGTGTTCGTGTTCGCGTGCGCCGTCACGCACGTGGCGCTGCTGGCACGCGGCGCGGGGCTGGGCCCTGCCCTGCGCGCCACGCCCGCGTCCGCCATCGTGGCCGCCGTCTGCTTCCTCTCCGTGTGGTCCGTGCTAGGGCTGGCCGGCTTCCACACCTACCTCGCCTCCACGGACCAGACCACCAATGAGGACGTGAGTTCCTGATACATATCGCCTACGCACGACTGACTGAAGGTTATCGAAGGGGATAAATTAGATTTTCATTGACTTCACAGATTAAGGGTTCGTTTTCAACACGCCGTGGCGTGTCAAACCCCAACCCATATTCACGCGGCAACGCATGCGCTAACTGCTGGCACGTACTGTGCGGTCCGCTGGCTCCCAGCCTCATAGACAGGTGAGTAGCTGAGCCCCCCTCCCCCTCCCCCGCCTCTAGCCCCGCCGGCGCCGCCCTCAGTAATCATCACTCCCCCTGTTGCAGGCGCGGCGTCTTTACCATCGACGACAAAGACGAGCTGCCGCCTAGCTTCGCGCGAGCTCTGAGCGCGGCGCCCCCCGCGGCCCCGTCGCCCCCGGCCGCGCCCCCGGCCGCGCCCCCGCTGGGCGGCAGCTACAGCAACCTGTTCGAGAGCGGGTCGCCGGTGCGCCACGCCTACATGAACCGCTCGCTGGAGCTCGAGCCCGTGTCTTCGCAGCCCATGGCGCTGGCGGGCCCCCTGCAGGCGGGCCCCCTGCAGGCCGGGTCGCTGCAGGGCGGGGGCGCGCCGGGCGGGCTGAGCGCGTCGCGGCTGCGCCTGCTGCACGACACGACGATGATAGACGCGGCGCTGGACCTCGACGAGCCCGAGCCTCCGCCGCACCTGCCGCGCGGGCCCCTGGCGCCCGTGCATCTGCCGGGGCCCCGCGCGCTGGCCGCGCTCTGACACGCGCGCCGGGGCCCGCGCTGGGGCCCGCGCCGCCGCCTCGCCCGCCGCCCTCGCGCGCCCCGCATCAGGGCCCGACGCCCTTTGTGCTCTGTAAATAAACTATTATAAATATTATTATAATAAATAGCTTGCATTGTAGAGTTGCCCATTTTTGTTTTTATTTCAAACTTACGTAAGGATGTCGAGGGAAACCAATAGGGAGGTCTCCTTCCTGTGGAGGATGCTCCTGACCAGGTCCGCCTTGCCTCTGATGACGGTGTGGATCTCATGATCCACACCGTAATCGTCATCGGCAAAGAACGTCCCGGCCAACAGCGCGACGGATTGTTCCGGGCTCTGCACAACTCCATTCTCGACGAGTAGCTGGTCCTCTTGATGACCTGACGTTCTTCTCAGCACCCGGTAGATCCCATCCCACATTGATTCCCTCTCCTGCTTCGAGCAAAACTCCTTCCAGCTCTCCGTTTGGGCAACGACAACCCTCCTGTCGTAGTCCGCCTTGGCGCCCAGGTAGTCGTCCACAACATGCTGTCGGCGCCGCGGCGCGGCACACCGGATTTGACGGCGTTTCGTGTTCACGTCGCGACGCATCCCTTCCAATTCGTCGTTCCACCAAGGAAAGCGTTTTTTCTGTTTGGGTGGTTTGTGGGGCGGAATTGTTTCCTCGCACGCCTCGCCCACACAATTAATGAAGTCTGTAACCACCCCTTCTAACACGTTCTTTTACGTCTTTGGTATTGATGACATGCTCCAGGTTCAATCCCCGGGCGGTCATCCTACTACGCATTTCCTCGGTGAAACGACCCCATTCAGCCTTCCGGGTGTTGAAGCGCCGAGTAGTCCACGGGGTACCTCCCCCAGGGGGCACCCTGAGACCCAGAACCACACGTATCGCCCTGTGATCTGAACTAGTCACGGAGTCGTTCACTTTCCACTCTCGGACGCTCCTCAACAATCCGTGGGTGCAGACGGTAACGTCGACATGACTCGTGTACCTCCTGCCTCCACGGATTGTATCGAAGGTAGGGACGATTCCTGTGTTCAACACGTGCAGCTCTAGTCGTCAAAGAATCCCCTCAAGGTCTCCCCTCTGGTGTCCTCCTCGACGCTCCCCCACCACGGACTCCATGCATTCCAATCACCTCCCACAATGATCCTGTTGGTGCCGACCCGACCCATGAAGTCACGCAGTTGCGCGAGGTACGGCTCGATATCCTCCGTGCCCTCAAGGTACACAGAGATAGCCGCCATGGTCCAGTCGCCCGCCTTCAGAACGACAGCCACAATATTCTCAGTGACGATCTGAGGGTTCACATGAACCTCCAGATCGACACCGAAGACCATGACTGCCGCCTTGACGGGCTTGGTCCTCGCAGCCTCCCTCTGTATCACCCTGACGCCACGGAAGCTGCCGACCCGCCCCTCCGCGCCGACGTAAGGCTCCTGGACAAGGGCGACCCCAACACTGCCCCTGTGAGCAGACATGACTAACTCCTGAGTCGCCAAGCGTCCACGCTGGAGGTTGGCCTGGTATATCATAAAGTGCCCCTCACATACTTGATCTGCTGCAGCGCCCTTAGCAATAGCTCACCGAGGCACGTGCTATCGCGTCCCATTTTTGTCGAACGGGGCAGTCGCCACTGAACGCAGTATGTCCCGCTCCCTGCCGCCCGGCCCGGTCGCAATTCCGACAGACGGGGACCCCCCCGCCACCGCGCGAGGGGCACTCCGAACGGTCGTGCTCCCCCCCGCAATGGCTGCAGAGGTCCACCTTCTCCCTACAGAACTTGCGGCCCTGGCCGTACCCCAGACAGCGGGTACACTGCACCAGTGGCGACTGGTCCTCGGCGGTCAGGCCCTGGATGGCAATGTATATCCTCTCCGCCTCAGTCAGCCTGCGCCATACCTGAGGGGAGACCTGTAGGATTACATGGGCCTGATGTGGATTCCGCGCTTTCTTGCGGTAAGCCTCTTTGTAAAGTGGCTCGGATCCATGTCCAGCCACAATCTCTTATTTTGGACCTTGAGGGATTCCACAATGTCCTTTTCAGAGTTGTAGCTGAACACGTTCCTTATCACCACTCTCGGGTCCCGGCTCGCCGCAGGCTCTAACTTGAGGCCGTCTGTATTCTTCAGCTGGTCCTCGGTTTTCTTTAGGTCTTCCTTGTTACCGCAGCAGATCACTATCTTACCATCTCTAACTTTCCTTACCCTTTCGATCTGCATCCCCGACCTACGCGCGTCGAGGGCCTCCCTGACTTTACCTATAACGTTCTCCCTCGTATCCGTCTCCATACATGAGGATACGATCAGGGCGTGGCTCGGGCGGCAGGGGAGGGGCTGGGTCTTGGGTTTTGGGGCCCTCAATGTCTCGGCGTACGTAGCCACCGGGGCCTTGAGGGCCTCCATGGCTTTTCCGGTCTCCCTTACGGTTTCTCCATTTTTCCTCACCCCCTTCCCGACCTCCCCAACCTGCACCCCGACCGCCTCGACTTTCATACCTGTCTCTTTTATCACCTTGCATACATCTTCGACAGAAGATGAACGCAGTGTATAGTACGCAACGAAGGATGACAATCCTTCCCATGTTTTCCGTCACTTTTGCACTTTCCTCCACTTTTTTACTAGTCCGTTCACTCGTCTTCCTTACTTCCTTCATTTCTTCCATTAGGCCCTCTAGTTTTTAATGTTCCCGCACAGTGCCCTACCCGGGGGATACTCGTCAAACCGGTTCATGATGTCGTGATTTATCATTTTTTTTATTGTTTCGCTGTTGGTGACGAGCTCCCCGATTTTCTCCCACCAATGTCCTTATGCATGCCCCGAGCCAGCTCCTCTATTACTCTATCCTTTTCTTCCACTGATTTCCTGAGCTCTTTTTCTTTTTCGGACCGCAACTGCTCCAGCTGGAGCTCCAGGGAACGAAGGCGCTCGTCCACCTGGAGGACTGTCCCGTACAGTCCTGACAGACTGTCCAGAACGCCCTCCTTGATGGTCGACTTCAAATTCCCCGACGACTCCAGCTGGGCCTTTGCGGCCTGGAATAATCTATTTGCTCGGGCAGTTGGGCTCTCTGTCGGGCGGGCACTGTGCTGTGGCAATTGTTGGGCGATGGCTTCGCGCGGTTTCTTGTCTTCCTTTCGCTGCGTGTGTGCGACCGTTATGCTTTTCACGTTCTTCCCGAGAGGCGGGGACATGTTTACTAATTATTATACTTAACCTAGCTAACACAATTGAATAATTAATACACGTCACCAATAGGGGTGACGGTCAGACAAACTATAAATTCGTAAAAATAATAAATGAAAATTTTATATAGTATATATAAATTAAATATTAGAATCTAAACGTCCCCAATAGGAGGGACGGTCTAAATATCACAAAAATATAATTTAAAGTAATTAATTAACTAGTTTAACGTCCCCAATATGAGGGACGGTCTACGGCACAAAACACAAAATACAAGAAAATACAAAATAAATTTAGCTTATTTACTAGCTTAACGTTCCCAATAAGGGGGACGGTCTACAATAAAAGGAATAGTAAATAATAATAATTAAAATTAGATATAAAAGTAATTTGACGTCCCCAATAGGAGGGACGACGGTCTAGAAAGCAAAGTAGACACAATAAAATAATTTTAAATTAGGTAGCTAGCTTAACGTCCCCAATAGGGGGGACGGTGTACGACACAAAAATAAATAATTAATAGTAATTAAATTAAACCCAACTTAAAATAACTATTGACGTCCCAATAAGCGGGAAGGGAAAAGTTTATGTTACAATTCTAAGTTAGAGTCTTGCTCGGTCAACAGATTTTAAAAATTAGTAACCAGACACTGGTCTGGTGTCCAGAAGCCTGCAGGATCCTTACTTTGACAAAACATTTGGAAAAAAGCGTCAATAATTTTTCGACTCTAGATAGAGTCGATCTCGGTCTCTCACCGGATAGGTCTCTCGGAGCCCTCTCCAACGAACCCAAACACGGCCACCCTAGTCCAAAGGGTTCCCGAGAAAACCCAGCCCGAAATTCTGGTTGTCAGCGTCAGATGGCTCCCAGAATCCGTTAACCTACGGTTTTCTCCGGAACCGTTCGTCCGAATACCACCGTGCTTAGGCTCCCCGGAATGGTCTCGCTGAGGTCCGGCGTGTGGGACAGGTTTCAGCTCCGAATAATTTCAGGTCCTGAAAGCTCCCGAAAGATTATCTAGTAGAGAAGGTCAGGCCGACAATCCCAGTGAAAACGCGAGCTCTCTACGACCGCTAGTTCGGGTGATACAGCAATTTAAAATTTATTTTGACAGTAGAGGATCTGTCAAATTTAAAATTGTCCGAGCTATATTTTAACTTCCAGCGGTCACAGAACACCCGTGCTTGGACTCTCCGTATTCGTCTCCACCAGTGCTACTCAATGAGATTGTTTTCAGGCACCTGAAAAATTTCAGCCCCGATTCCGCTGAAAACTACTTGGTAGATTAGAGCTTGATCCTCTAATTACTACTGTGAAAACCGCAACTCTCCACGCCTCACAGGGGCGTAGATATTTGATATTAAAGTTTTACAAAATGGCCGCCCAGCTGTCAAATGCTGGCTTTAAACCGCTGTATCTCCGCAACCGCTGATCGGAAAAAGTTGCGGTTTGGACAGCCACTCGTGTCTTGATCTCCCCTATACTACAGCAGCGGTTTTGAGGCTAAAACCAACAAGTACCGAAAAATGGCACTTTAACCTATCCACGTTATTATTCCTACTTTCCCACGACAAATCGTGGCAAAACGAGCTCGCTAAGCCAAATACCTACCCTTGGAGATATTAAGTTTTGAAATTTTTAACCATGTCAACCAAGTTGGACGAATTAGTCTATTTTCGTTATTTCCGAAGGTATTTGTCGCGAGTTTGGGCTTAAACTAGCTGAAATATACACTAATAAGGGAATTCTGGTGTCAGAATTTAATTATTTCTATTTAATTTGATTTTATGTTAAAAAATTACAAAAA